ATTCCCTCATCAAACACCTCCCCGCCCCCATATACTACAATGTATATTCCCAGCATCAGCTTATAGCCCGGAGATACCAGCTGTTCAATACTTACTCTGGCCAACCTTCAATGTGACCTTCATTCCTTTGGTCTTACAGACACCACCACTGAGATTCTCCAGACCCTCCAGCATACCATCCGACGTGGCTGAAAATATACAAAAATATAAAGAAAGGTCAATAAAGTACATTACTATAACAGAAGATTTATTATACAGCATGATGGTATACAATGATTGTTCTCCGTATTATTATTATTATTATTATATGGATATATATATATAGAGAGAGAGAGAGAGATATCTCTATATCCAGTTCCAGCTCTCCAGACTTGCAGCCCTCGTTCATTCTTGTAAACGAGGCCACTTGTTAACGAGCTGTGACAGCCATCTTGGGCCCTGTTCTATTGAATCATGTCCCGTGCCATCCCTTGTCACGGAAGGGAGAGGCTGCAGCCAATCGGGGAGCAGGAGAGCGGGAAGCAGGCGAGACGGAGGGGCGTTGGGTGACATGCCTGCTGGGGACAGGGGTTGGGAAGGGTGGAGGTTGGGAGGAAGCTCAGACATAGATATAATGAGAGAGAAAACGAGGACAGGCGCAGGCATATTACTCGGTTCCGGAGGTTACGGATTCCACGTCTGGTGTGGTGAACTGCCAATACCAAGCCGGGGGCCGTGTTAGGCCCTCTGACAATGGCATCAAATTGAAACATATTCCAGTACAACAAATTTATAAAACATTGGAAGAGTCTAGAATGGCCACTGAGCGTATTTGTTATGTGAGGACTTATTTCAGGCTTTCAGTTCTCAACACAGGAAGAGCGACGCCATTTTCCTGGCAATTTTTTATGCATCACAATCATCTAATTTCCTGACTAGAGATGACCCGGTCCAAACCTGAGCTCCTCTGAACATGGAAGTGAGCCCCTTTGAACATGACAGGAGCTCCTCTGAACATGAAAGGAGTTCCTCTGAACACGGGAGGAGCTCCTCTGCGCACGGGAGGAGCTCCTCTGAACATGGAAGGAGCTCCTCTGCACATGGAAGGAGCTCCTCTGCACATGGAAGGAGATCCTCTGCACATGGAAGGAGATCCTCTGCACACGACAGGAGCTCCTCGGCACATGGAAGGAGATCCTCTGCACACGACAGGAGCTCCCCCGCACATGGAAGGAGCTCCCCCGCACATGGAAGGAGCTCCTCCGCACGTGGAAGGAGCTCCCTTGCACATGGAAGGAGCTCCTCCGCACGTGGAAGGAGCTCCTCCGCACGTGGAAGGAGCTCCTCCGCACGTGGAAGGAGATCCTCCGCACGTGGAAGGAGATCCTCTGCACACGACAGGAGCTCCTCTGAACATGGATGGAGCTTCTCTGCACGTGGAAGAAGATCCTCTGAACAGGAAAGGAGCCGCTCTGAACATGGAAGGAGCTCAACTGCACGTGGAAGGAGATTCTCTGCACACGGATGTAGCTCCTCAGAACATAGTAGGAAGCTCCTCTACACACAGAAGGAGCTTGTTTGAACACAAAAGCATCTCCTCTGCACACGGAAAGAGCTCCTCTAAACACAAAATGAGCTCCTCTGTACAATGAAGCAAGTTTCTCCTGCTGCCGCTCAATCAGCAGCGGCTGGGGAATTACCCGCCCGCAGCTGCATGTAAGAAAGTGGCCGGAATGCAGTGACATCATTGACCTTATATGGCCACATGGTTTCTCCAAAGACATGCTAAAAAGTTAATTGGCTCCTATCTAAATTGGCCCTCTATGCATGTGTAACAGGGACCTTAGATTGTAAACTCCTTGAGGTCAGGGACTGAGGTGAATGTGAACTATATAAAGTGCTGAGTAAATTGGTCAATGATATTGATCCTGTGGCCATATAAGGTGAATGATGTCACCAACATCCCGCCCCTTGTTTTATGTGCAGCTGCAGGGCAGAGTTACCTTTTAGGTTTGACTCCTGTAGATGTAACTGATTTGTATGAAGAGCAAGAAACAAACTCTGATTAAGTAATATTTAACTTGCGTCTCACATGATTAACCTTTAAAGCTGAACTCCGGGTACAAAGACTTTAATTGAAATACATTCCTCTACAGTCACAAAGGACACAAATCCACTTTGTGTGAAGCAAATGCCTTTTCAAACCAGATATTAGCTTATAAAATTTGCTGTGACATCATCAATGTGCATGCAGCACAGTGATGATGTCACTGCTACTTTTATAAGCTAATAGCCTGTGCAGAGAGCAGAGCTATGGAAGGGGTCAAGCAACAGTGACCGGCCTCAATTACAGGAGGGGTGGGAGACAAGACCGGTCACCCTGCACAAGGAGAGAGCAACAGTGATCGGCCTTTATTAAAGGAGGGGTCGGAGACAAGACCGGTCACCCTGCACAAAGAGAGAGAACAGTAGTGACCGGTCTTTATTACAGGAGGGGGCGGAGACAAGACCAGTCACCCTGCACAAGGAGAGAGAACAGTAGTGACCGGTCTTTCTTACAGCAGGGGGCGGTGACAAGACCAGTCACCCCACACAAGAAGAGAGCAGCAGTGACTGGTCTTTATTACAGGAGAGGGCGGAGACAAGACCAGTCACCCTGCACAAGGAGAGAGCAGCAGTGACATGTCTTTATTACAGGAGGGGGTGGAGACAAGACCAGTCCCCCTGCACAAGGAGAGAGCAGCAGTGACCGGTCTTTATTACAGGAGGGGCGGAGACAAGACCAGTCACCCTGCACAAGGAGAGAGAGCGATCTTTATTGCAGGAAGCTCTACCCACTAGAGGAAGATGCCGCCTATATTTTCCAAGGTTCATTCAGAAAATGAGGGCACCGGTGGCCGTAGGCATTTAGCAACCGGTCATCCAGATGCAGAAGACCAAACAACAGGGTGAATTTCACCGCTGATTAGCGGGCCGTCCGTGCATTGTGCGTTGGAGTGAACGCAGCACCTTTGCATCTGATTGGATTGTAAAAAGGAAATATTTTCTGTGTGTGAAGAATATCCGGTCCCAGAAGAGCGCAGATAGATGAGCCTCTAATCCTCCAGTTCTGCTGAGGCCAGGACGTCCGGATAATCTGCCCTGTCACGGGGGAGCAGATATATAACCGTTTCTGGCAAGGCGACCGCCGCAGGCGACGCGCTCTATAATATCTCATTCCTCTTCTAATCCTGTGACCCGTGTTTTAATTAACAGCAGGTAAGCGAGTCTGGTGAGGACGCCGCAGTCTCGGATGGTTGTGGTGCTCGCTCCAGCCCCGGCTCCCTCCCGCTCCGTTCCCCCCCACCCCTTCCCGCTCGCTTTGACCTAAATGTCAGAGCGCGTTATTTCTGCTGGGTGGCGGAGGAGAGGAAAGCGTGCCCCGAGGGGGAGAGGAGAAAATGGAGGGACGATGGATTCCAGGAACCCGGAATTAGCGCAGGGTGCTGGGAGGACGACGACAAAGGGGGGGCTGGGAAACAATGGAAGAGCGCCTGGACATGCAGCAGTTCTCTTATAGGATAAAGCTCCATGGATGCCACCATCTGAATGGTCTCCAGGAAGGAAAACTTTCTTTTCCATATGTTCCTCTATAGCCACAACGGATATAAATCCACTTTATGTGCACCAAATGGCATTGCGAAACAGGATATTACCTTGTTAAAGTAGCTGTGACACCATCACTGTGCTGCACATAGGCTGTCCAGGGGGCAGAGCTGTGGGAGGGACCCAGCAGGCTCCACCCAGTACAGAAAACTACATAAGGGGGGCGGAGACAAGACCAGTCACCCTGCACAACAAGAGAGAGCAGCAGTGAGTGGTCTTTATTACAGGAGGGGGCGGAGACAAGACCAGTCACCCTGCATACGAAAAAAGAGCAGCAGTGACCGGTCTTTATTACAGGAAGCTCCACCCACTACAGGAAACTACGGGAGGGGGCTTAGACAAGAGCAGTCACACTGTACAAGGAGAGAATGCAGCAATGAGCGGTCTTTATTACAGGAGGAGGGCGGAGATGAGACCAGTCACCCTGCACAAGGAGAGAGAAAGAGAGAGCAGCAGTGACCGGTCTTTATTACAGGAAGCTCCACCCACTACAGGAAACTACGGGAGGGGGCTTAGACAAGAGCAGTCACACTGTACAAGGAGAGAATGCAGCAATGAGCGGTCTTTATTACAGGAGGAGGGCGGAGATGAGACCAGTCACCCTGCACAAGGAGAGAGAAAGAGAGAGCAGCAGTGACCGGTCTTTATTACAGGAGTAGGCAGAGTGATGGAACCCTAGAAATTTAGAGAGCCCTGTCCCGTGGCCAAAGCTGATCAGTGACAGTCTCATAGAAGTCTATGGGGCCATGTCCTGAGGCCAAAGACAATCAGTGACTATAGGCCGGAGATGATCAGTGATGGTCCCATAGAAGTCTATAGAGCCGTGTCCTGAAGATGGAGATGATCAGTGATGGTCCCATAGAAGTCTATAGAGCCGTGTCCTGAAGATGGAGATCATCAGTGACGGTCCCAAAGAAGTCTATAGAGCCGTGTCCTGAAGATGTAGATGATCAGTGAAGGTCCCATAGAAGTCTATAGAGCCGTGTCCTGAGGATGGAGATGATCAGTGACGGTCCCATAGAAGTCTATAGAGCCGTGTCCTGAAGATGGAGATGATCAGTGACGGTCCCATAGAAGTCTATAGAGCCGTGTCCTGAAGATGGAGATGATCAGTGACGGTCCCATAGAAGTCTATAGAGCCGTGTCCTGAAGATGGAGATGATCAGTGACGGTCCCATAGAAGTCTATAGAGCCGTGTCCTGAAGATGGAGATGATCAGTGACGGTCCCATAGAAGTCTATAGAGCCGTGTCCTGAAGATGGAGATGATCAGTGACGGTCCCATAGAAGTCTATAGAGCCGTGTCCTGAAGATGGAGATGATCAGTGACGGTCCCATAGAAGTCTATAGAGCCGTGTCCTGAAGATGGAGATGATCAGTGACGGTCCCATAGAAGTCTATAGAGCCGTGTCCTGAAGATGGAGATGATCAGTGACGGTCCCATAGAAGTCTATAGAGCCGTGTCCTGAAGATGGAGATGATCAGTGACGGTCCCATAGAAGTCTATAGAGCCGTGTCCTGAAGATGGAGATGATCAGTGACGGTCCCATAGAAGTCTATAGAGC